TTGCAATCTGTGGGTGCCCGTTGGATCTAGGCCAGGAGTGGCAAATATTTCACTGATTTCAGTAAGGTAACACTGCAAACCGGACGTGTTAGTTCGGACGCCCATGTGGTATTGAACGGGACAATTTTCGAGATTATTCGACGGTTGACTGTGGGCGAGATCTCGCAGGGGCACTGGAACTGAATTGCTATTAGGCCCGGTTAAGCACGCTCAGACTCGTTGGGCGTGATCGTCTTGTTACGGAAACCACACCGGGGAATTTTTTAACCAGTGGAATTGACATGTCACTGCAGATGATTTCCTCCATGCGCCATGTTCATATGCTGCTTTCGGCCCAAGTGCGCAAGTTTGAGATTACCTCCGCGCACTTAAGTGAGTCTTTGGTCATTATTGCGAAGGGAGGGGGGAGAACTCATTTTAGATTGGCCCACATATACGCTGCTGTATTGTCTGCCCGCTTCTTGAGTAACCACCACGAGCTGCTGATTGCCTCCATTACTGTAGTCCTAGCTTCGGTTGCCATGGCGTGCCATCTCGGACGCTAAACGTTCATCAGGGAGTGTGAAGATCTCCCGACACAAAAACAGAGTTATGACTCCGCTGACCGACACTTCGTCTTCATCTCATTCCTCTATAACCGAACTCAGAAAAGTATTTTAATATGTCGCGATAGCCTTTTTGATAAAATTAGTTTTTCGAAGGATGTGGTTTATACACCGAGTGTTACGTGGTCTGGTGTCTGCATACGCCCACGTCGATGATCTGCTGATGGTTTGTGCGGATGATGATGATGACGACGAAGAGAACGAGCATTTTGCTCTTGAGTTTGACCAACTCAAAAAGTATGGGTCCATAATGTATGCATAAAAATACGCTTTCAATGTGCCGTCTCTCAAGCCCCCTGACCACCATGTTGATTCAGAGGTTTGGTATCATCTGTCCTGGCATATAATAAGCGTAGGAGTTAGGTATGGTTCGTCGAAGTCGGCTAATAGGCCAGAAATAGCCATTCCAGTCTCCTTTTTTCCTGTCTGTTATATACATCTGTCAAGTGCATATTCACGAAAGTCGGACAAAACAATATATTCTTACTCCCCTTCCTCAATATGTCTAACCACACAGATTTTCGATCAGGTCACCTGGAATCTCTGACAAATACCCTCATTTTTCATTTTATTCAAGCATCTACAGCTCTTAATTTGCAGTATTAATCATTGCGCGGCTATGACATCAACATAAGCTTCAAGGCATTTGTCGTTGAGTTGAGCAGTGGGAGAACATACACTCTGCATGGCGATTTCGTTTCGTTAAATGGTGAAAGAACGCCGGCCTGCCTCTTTGAACTTTCAATTTACACACTAGTGTATGCTAGGGACAAATACAGCAAAACATGTTAGTAGGGGGTGGGTTGGCAGATGTGAAAAATTTGTTTGACACCAAAGGAATCACTCAACTCTGTCAAAACGCCGTAGTAGATAACTTCGCTGGGTGGATTCTAGCTTCAGCGGATAGCTTGGGAAATCCCTTCTGAGGTGCCAGCTTACTATAGTAGAATAAGTGCATTCCATATGTTGTTGAAGGCTGAGCGCTGGATCGATCCAAGGCCTCGATAGCTCAGGGTGCTACACCGTTGGCTATACTAGAGCCTTCGCTTAGCTGGTATGGGTCGGTCTGGATGGGATTTCACTAAGTTTTTTTACATTTTGATCAAATGCGCATTTCAAGTGTTGACTTGTGTGTGTGTTCAATGTTTGTAGGCATATGCAATGCAGACTCCGGCAAACTACGGTCCCTGCGACCTGGTAGTCACTGGCACTTTCTGTTGGTTCTGATTCCCTGTTAGTGCATGCGTTCGCGCTCCCACTGTGTTTCAGGCCCCACCTCAGGTGCGCGAGTAGGAAGGCGGTTATTAGACGGTGGGGGAGAGAGAGGTTGACCCTTGGCGTGCTGCTCTCCTCACTTCAATAAATATTAACCGGCGTTGACACAGGAACATATAT